TAAGGTGAATAGTTCTGTAAAAGTGGTCTGATCCAGGTGCAGACGGCAAAAATTAAAAGGCAGAAATTTGCTTGCCTAAGGTGAATATTTCTGTAAAAGTGGTCTGATCCAGGTGCAGACACCAAAAATTAAAATGCAGAAATTTGCTTGCCTAACTTCATGTAAACTAGTTTGAAACAGGTGATGATTTTTACAATGTGACACAATTTCAAGAATTTTCTCTCACTGTCATTGTTGGTTTGGTCTAATTTAGGAATTAAAATCACTCAAAAATATACAAAAATTTCACCTACGTTTAAACTGTACAAGTAACACAAAAATATCAGTTGATCATGTGTGTTCCCAATGATGTTAGTCATCTTGGACTTTAATGTCGATTTTCCATTTATCACGATGATACATTGTGCAAGTTTCAGGACTGGCAACCATCACCTTCACCACTCTGTTTGTAGTGATCTGTCATGTCAGAGTGTGAAATCTGGCCAGATCCAAAAAGAGTCTTTTGGGGATTATTTGATTTTTCAAATTTTGACACACACTTGTTTTAGTTTTCTGAAATTGCAAGCCAAGGATTTTTGCTTCATACAAATCCTTTTGCAATCGTCTTAGTGTCATGTGATTGCCATTGCCACAAACTGATATTCACACTCCGTGGTTATAACATCTTGATTTCCAAAACAAATCGCTGTACCAAACAGAATGGTTTTGTAACCTAGAGACTTGTTTCTGAGTGGCGCACTCAGCTTGCAGAATCCCCGATGCCCTAATCACATGATGGCACAGGCCTTGCTACCCCCTTGAGCTCTTGGATCTCCATTGGTCTGGACCACCTTGCCTCCGTTCACCGCCTTTTGCAGTTGTATGACCAGCATGGGTAAAAGGGAGGGGTTGAGGAAAAAAGAAAGCAAACATAAGAACCCTTGCAAGAAACCACATGCTGATTGCATTCATAAATATGCATGAGGGCAACACTGATGAACCCGATGTTCCGTTGACTGCACTTCTCATTTTACTGCTTATGAGCTGAATTATTTTTGCTGGAAAATCTTAACTTTCAAAACCACAAGATATGGTGGCCAACTGATACTTCCAACAGTCATTTGTACAGTAGTTTTGCTATTTACCCCGACCTAAAGGTTTTCAACAAGATGGGGCACGACCATGGAGCGATATGTGCTACCCCAGCAGGCTGTGCACAGCGGCCGAGTCCAAATTCACAAACTTCTCAGACTTTGTGTGGGTACAAAACAAGCAGGGGCTTAGCATGTTTGAATGTCTGCTGGAGGTGAGTTGAGGCATGCTTCACGTTTGAACCCATCAACTGAGGCTGTGTACAGGGACGGCCCGATTGTGTTTACACATCCTACAGGTCAAAGTGGTTAATTTAGCAATTGTCTCTAGGGATTTCTTAAAATGCCACAAGGTTCAACATGTTTGATCTGTGACAGGTCTGTTTGACCAGGACTCTGATGTGGAAGTGGCACATCAGAAAAAGAAAATCAAGCTATACTGATGTCCTGTTTTTTGATTAGTAATGAACTACATAGAAAGTGAATCTGAGGATTGTCTGTAGAAAGTTCTATAAACTTGTCCCCCTCTAACAAACTTCCTCCTCATGACTTTGGAATCAATTAACACGCTTCATAATTAGGTAGTTATGTATGTTTCCAATAGCTTGACAAGTCAACAGTACTGTCTTGCATTATGTGCAGTCAAACCATGGTCAAACCAACCATCGGGCTCACAAGGGTGCCATTCTAAGCAAAGCTTAATGACAAAAATTACTTCGATAAGATCAAATTGAAGGGGGCATTTCTCAAAGTTTTACTTTTAGAAAGAATTCTGTTAAAGAGAAATGCAAAAGTTGGTATTCATCTTTCAAGGAGATTTTCAGTAATTCATTTCAAATTCGCCCAATTTTCAAAAGATTGAATTTGAAAACAGTCTCCTTCTATACCCAATCCTTCAAAGGAACTTTCAACTCTTCAAAAACTGTCCAGTGTTGTAATCAAGCACTTTTCATATACATGTACTAAGTTTAAAAATTAAGTTTCTGATGCAAAATTAATCAAATAGTACTTGGCCAAGAACTTTTTTAGTACTTTTCTCCTTGTACATGTATCTCAATCCTTTCAAAGCTAGGAATGTCTGAAGTCTTAAATTCATTTTGAAATCTCCCCTTGACTACAACACTGAAAATTTGGTCCTCAAATCATTCTTTTTCCCATTTTCTATGATCTGAAATAAATCCTGATGAGAAAATCTTCAAATGGGATATGAATACAACAATGTAACAAACCAATCAACGCAAAACAATACAAACGTAATCGCACCACACAATGACAGACACACAGTTCTCATTGTCTAAAAGCATAGCACCAATCCACAGGTAAATGCTACATGTACACTCATGGAGTCAGTGCTTGCTATGGACCCAAGCATAAAATCTCATGCTCCGTTGTTGGTAGCATGCTGGCAGTAATATAAACGGCACTGAAGTGTTGCCCCATGAAAAGTCCCACAGCATATACCATGGAAATTCAATGGAAAGCTTCATTACCGTGTCCTTGTCAATTAGTATTTGACTTTTCTGAAGTGAGATTGTTGATTATCATATTCTGGAGTGGGAAACTCTGCCCACTTACGGACATTTCAGAGCTGACAATATGAACCAGGGGGCCAATTTCATAGAGCTGCTTAAGCACAAATATTGCTTAAGCAGGAAAAAACTTTGCTTGATAAACAAAGGTTACCAGCTCAAACTCTGATTGTCATGCTAATCAAAAAACAGCTCAATACGATCCCCAAACAATATACATCACCTGGAATTTTGGCTAGTTACCTGATTTATCAAGTAAGGTTTTTTTGCGCTTAAGCAAATTTTGTGCTTAAGCAGCTCTATGAAATTGGCCCATTCATGACTTGGATCCGTCACAGCACAGACTCACCAGGGTAAATGATAATGAGCGTGATCAGCCACAATATGGATTGCTTGGTTACCCGCTACCCACTTGTTACTATACATGTGTATGTTCAAATGCCATTATATGCAGTGTTTGATGAGTGCATGATTAAGGCGTAAAGTGACAATGACTGCTTATGGTAGCATGATCGGAATATCTACATGAATGAAGGATCTAAATGTCACAAACCACAACAAACACAGCAAACGTATGTTAAAAAGGTGGTGAGGAAACGTGGTGTGCAACCAATCAATGTGTCGCTACCATGAGATCCACTGAAAATGTATCAAAGTCAATTCAGTCGATTTAACAAATACAACCATCAACACCTAACCGAATTTCCCAAATCTTGTCTTGCAAATGACCCTAGCCATTGACAATGGATCTTTTGCAACACGAATGAGTTTGAGGTATTTCCTCCAAGCTTTATCCCAGCTGCTTCTCGTTTATTTCCACTGAATCTCAGATATGAATCAGCAGCAATGGAAATCTCTGTGCAGTGAAGTGGCAAATCTGGCAAGTGTGTTAAAAGGCACACAGTGCAGATGAGTGTATCACAAGGCCCCGCAAATTTGACCGTCAGTCCATCACAGAGTTATCCAACGGTCAGTTCAAATGAACTGGACAAACACACTCCTTTCTCATTTTTCACCCAGCCACCTATAACTGGTCTTGTGACAGGCCTTGTGATGGACTCAACTATGACACTTTCACGCAGCGTATTACAAAAACTGTCGTTTGTACAGTTGCTGGCCTGGATGGGTCTGTGTCCTTCCTGCTTGCAGATATAGGTCAACAATAAAGCACTGTGGGGTTCAAGGTAGGGGTTAAGGGCAAAGGCTACGGGTGAGGTGGGGTCTGTTTGGGGTGATTCACAGGTTACACCTTTTTTTTCTGTCTTTGGTTGACAACAGGGCATGGACATGTCTGTGAGGTGGCTTTGGCAAAAGTGAAATGTACCTCCGTCCGTCAGCCCAACTACAATATTTGCAGTCATGAGGAGCTATCTCCAACAAAATGCAACTTTTTCCTATTCTTTCCCCACTTTTACAATGACATTTTCACAATGATGCAATAGGTCCACAGAAATATGTTCTTCTCAGGCACATGATCTTCTAAGATTTCCAAAATTTTATTATTGAGACAATGTTAGTCATTTCCCTTACGGGAGATGAGCTAACACTTATCTTCATTCCCTCCTCCACAAATTCCAAGGCTCTCCATTTTTCCTCTATAATCTTCCTTCTATTTATCCAAGCTCACTAATAATCAGAAATTTTAATTTAGCCTGTTTTTAGGTGTCTTCCCCCAACAACAACAATGTATCCGTTAATCTGTTTCTCCTGCCTGAAGCATACATCAGCAGGTTCTATTGGGTCTGATAATTTTCAGTAACTGAACAATGGACATATCAGAAACAACAATTCTTTGGCAACATATAGCTATAAGTTGCCAGGAATTCAAACCCATAAACAAGCCCAAATTTAGATTACAAAGAATTATTTGAAGAGCATTATTTCAACACCCACCTTCAATAGAGTAAAATATCCCAACACCTTGCACAAAAAGTGTACCAAATAGCTTCAGAAACAAACAAAATATCCAAAATTGACTGGTTATAAAAGCTGACTGTCATTTCCCAGCAGATGTTAGGCATGGTTCACACTTCACATGAGATTGGAAGCAAAAGAAGTTCCTCAAGGTAACAGTTAACATCACAATGAAACTATCCAGCTTCCTTTTCTGCATTCCTGTGAGGTGTGAATTAGCATTTGATAAGATGAAGGGTTTCAGTTAGTTTAAAACAAAAAAGAGATGAAGTGGAAAATGTGAGAATAAGAAAAGAGAGAGGAAATCCCTTTTTCGATAGGCAATCCAAATCGTTTACACAGTAGAAATCAATAGAAAAGTTGACGTCATTCTTCCGTGGTACATGCATGCAAACCACCAGGAATATGGCCACAAATGTCCCCTCACTTCCCCCAATTGATGTGATGTGTCCTCTATGTTGTCTTCAGCTTAACCAATTACGAATTAGCATCAGTTCCAAATTTCTGAACAAAATGGCGTTCTTTGAATGTTGTATCCGCGGGAGGAATTCTGTGTGAAGTATTCTCTGTGGCAATCGTGCTTCTTATTTCCAAGGCAGAGTTTGTCATCAAACGTTTTCGTCTGGTCAAGCATTTTATAGTGACCGACCCAGCAGGCCAGTAGATTTTTGTCTTAACCCTAAAAGAGCCAGGGATCTTCTGGAATGCTGTTTTTAATTCCAAATACAGGCCCAGATGAGGAAACGGTGGGGAAGTTCATGTATATTTACATAAACACATAGAGTTAGGAAATGTTTACACAGAAAAATGTACATTTGTGATGTGTCTACTGTATGAAAAAAAATCTAACCAAAGTCGAACAGAAAGCATGATATGCTACAGTAAGGGTGAACAGTAATGGTAGCCATAGGTGGAGAAACAAGTTACAGATATCAATAGATATGCTGTAATTATTTTATCCTTAAGTCTGAGAATCTGAAGAGATTTATTCAAGCTCCACCTGTCTCTATGTCTTTACGGCTAGCGTTACATGACAGAGCACACTTGGGATTTTTTTCCGGTAGCTTTTTCGTGGATTTCCATCATCTGGAAAAAGTCAAAGGAATGGAAGTTTTGTTAAGCTGGGTTTGAAAATCCTGTTAAAAGCTAGGCTGGGGGGGGGGAGCGGGGAGAGAAATGTCTCACCGGCAGCAGCTCTATGAAGTGTGAATGGCTTAGAGGAAAGCCAGGCCACACTGTTCAGAACACACCTCCCCCTTTGGAAAAAAACACAAAATTCAGAGCTTTTTGCTCCATGGAATGTACCACAGCTGGAAACACAGAGGCTGGGAAAAGTCTAGAATGTTTCTAACATTATACACATATCTCACTAATTTTTGGTCTAATTTTATTTTTCCATTTGTGGTCTTACCTCTTTCTCAAGAAATATGTTTGTACCTTAAAAAATGGAAATATATATCACCCATTAATCCTTTCAAACATTGGAATTTCTGAGTAAATTTCCACACTACTAAATGAGGTTTTGACTTACAGCTTCAAATTTCAGCGTGTAAATGATGAATTTAAACTATGTCATTGTAATAATTTAAAACACCAGACATCAAGGTTTTGATTCAGCAGACTTTCTCCAAGCTGAACATTATGCTGACTTTGGCTTGGTTTTCAAAATGACCCACTCTAAACAAGGGAGTGGAGATGTTTAACAGGAAACTCTTCATTGTGCTTGATAATTCAGTTGTGTGTCAGCAGTATGGCCATAAAATTCTTCACTAAACAATATTTCTTTTTATGAAGTAAAAAAGAGACTAAAATTTAAACGAACTCCATCCTTTGTTGCATTTTCCTGTTTCACTGCTAATGAATGCAATTTTACATCAAATCTCCAAGTGTATCAGTCTGGCCTAAATTAATGTGATTAAGAATGTATACAATATATAATCTGAAAATATTAATTTTTGTAGAACGGAAAGAAATCAGAGGAGGAAACTTGAATTTCTGAGCTCATGTAAAGCCTCTCCTGTCAGAAAAAAACAATGTTAGTACATGACCAGGTCTCATCAATACACAATTTGCAAAAAAAGATGATTGGTCAAGTTCAAAGAAAGTTCCAGGGATTCTCATGCTCATCATGTGCATTCAGCTCAAATCTCTGAATCTCGAACATTTGGATAAAATTTTATTTCAAATCATTCAGGCTTCTCATATTTGAATCCATTTTCTGACTCTTAAATTTCCTTCAACACAAATGCAGTTTATGTTTGAAACGGTGATAAAACTTCCTAATTTTAGACGTTACTGCATAGCCTTAGATACCAACTCAAAGGCCAACACTGAATAAAGAGAAAGGTCTTCCTATTCTGAGAAAGCATGCAAAGTTACTGAATTTCTGGTGTTCTTGAGCACCAAATGTTATCAAAATGGGTTGACTACAGTAAAGAATGATTAACCCTGAAGGTACAATGTGAATGTGTTCCGGTTGCATTTTTAGCCTTTTACTTTCTCTGCGGTGTAAGTTGGGATTTAATTACTTTGGAGTCCAACCCACAACCTGCTAGTAAGTGTCAATGTTCTATCACTTGATCATTCAATCTGTTTGGGTAAATGATCCAATATAGCCATGGAGACAGCTTCTGGCAACAGTGACATTACCAGTGAATACATAGTGACAACGGTGTGTCTTTGAAATCAGAGAAAATCACTCCAAAGCAGCAGTCTCTTAAGGTTTGGAAACTCAAGCATCTGCCACTGATTTGGTACCGGGTACAATCCTACATTTGCAGTTGTCCATTAAGATCAAGTAACTGAAGAAATTATTTTTGAAAAGCATATCTAGTTTCCGGATAGCTATGAGAATAAACCCCTGGGAAAGTATTCTTTCTGTCAAGCTGTCATTTTGGAGAAAACAATGAAAGAAGGCAGTTTCCAGCAACCCATTACAAGATGCATTTTGGACTTTGCCAATAGCTTTTAAGTTGATGACATGCATACAAGCATTGATGCACCGCACATGAAAGAGCAGTTGCCAAGATTTGTTGGTTCAGAGTGTAACATCGTGTAGCTGCAATTGGCCAAGTGAGAGTTGAATTTGAGCACAATTTAAAACACCTCTGCAAGTTTTGACTTGAAGTTGAAATCTTAAAGAAATATATTTTATTGGAATATACAGCATTTGCTAGGCTCAAACTTGATAAGGTTGGATGCAGAGCCCCTTTGAGATTCAACCAGTATACGTATCAACACAACTCTCTGATTAATTCCCACTTCAAAACCAACATAGCTCATAATCCTGGTTTTTTTTTTCAATGTAGTCTGCAACTGTTAAGTTTAAAATTGAACTTTACACTTTAGGCAGGCAGACCAAATTTTTTGTGAGAACATCTCATTAAAACATGTGGCAAAAAGTAGAAATAGATTAGTGTTTTCACAGTATAATTTTAAACAGCAACTTTGGTTTTAAATAACTTGGAAGTTAAGCATTATTATGTTTATACTAAACCCAATAAATATTCATGACCTAGTCTTGCTTCCTCCTCAACTTAATCACCATGATGCATATATGTGACATCTCTCCATAAATACAGCAGAGTTTAATCTTAAAAACCTGACGAGAATCTGCATCGACGTAGATGTGGATTTTAGTTTTCCAACTTGAGATACATGGGTACAGATTCTATACCTGTCCAGGATTCCACACATGCACAAGTGATCCAGGCCCACTGCCAGGGTGGGTGACGGCATACAGACAAACACGAGATGGACTTGTGCAGTTTCAGATGCACACACTATGCAATGTGCATGCCAATGAGCGCACACGCGTTGTGTGTCAGCCTAAAGGGACTTTGTTGCTCGGTGACAAAGTGCCCTCTTCAATTTATGTGGGGAATCCATGCAGCCTCCGCAATGGAGGGCGTAGGAGAGGGGGTGTCACTACGCAGAAAGTGAGCTGACTGGATATTAGGACTGAAGCTGTGACGAATGCGTCAGCTGCGTTTACTACGACACTGCATTTGACAGACATAGGTCGGTGACAGAGCCAGAGAAATCCAAGGTGTCAAACACTACTCTAACCACAGCTTGAATGAGACAACCAGCTGACTGGGTCTCGTTAACTCTTGCTAAACTGTTGTTATAACTCACACGAGCTGTGCAATAATATCTAGGCACATACTTGAACCCAACATCATTGCCTAGCTTCTAGTGTTTGACATTTCAACTTGGTTTCCTCTGGTTCTGAAAAGGTATTCAGTACAATATGCTCCATGCAGGTGAATGTGGTACTGCAGGCCTGCCTGTGATTAGTAATTACAGTAGATCAGAGATTGTGCCAAACTTCACATTTGTTGAGAAACTTGAGCTACAAACCGCTCCAATTTGTGTCACGTTACATCAAGTATTATTTTTTGGTTTTTTCCCCAGAAATTTATTGTGCTAAAAATCTTCAGCTTATAAGTTGAACCAAAGCTCTGCCACGGGAGACGGCGGCAAGAATTTCATGTCAACATAGAACTAGCTGGCTTGGTTAAGATGTGCATGATGTTAGTCTAATGCTAGCCCCATGCTAATTATTCCCACTGAAAAACAAGGTGCCTTCAGTATCTTCGTTCTGATTGCATGAACTGCCGGTAAACAACATGAATGCAATTGTGAATCTAGAGAATTTCACCAAATGGAGCTCTGGCTATTTTCAGATTATTTTTTTTACTTCTGTCAAAACAAACTGAGAGTATGAAAGAATCCATTTTTGACAAACTTAGCAGAACCCATTTTCCATTGGATCCACAACTGCAAAAATTACTGTGTTGGCTGAATTTAGGCAGGTCTGAAGACAATCATGCTCACTGACTGAAGATGACAACGACCCAATGCACAAAGAAAGCAAAAGTAAACATCTTGGAACGCAGTGTGTCTACATGCATATGACCACAGTAGCAAGGCAGAAATTAGAATAAAAAAAAAAAAAAGCATGGTTGAAAGCTCGCACATTGCTGGGAAATGAACAGTCACTACATTAAACTTGTGGTGATCTTACATCCTGTTTGCCCTTGTTAGGCACCTGTCCTTTCATTGCGGTTTCCCCATTGGTCAGCGGCACCAGCTGCGGCTCCGCTCTGCTGCAGGGAGGGGGCGTGACATCATCTTTCTTTTTAGGGGCAGGTTCGGGTTCCTCTTTGATTGCTTGTTGGGCCTTTACCGATGACGGGTCTTCGAGTTCAAAACTGAACACGCTGACGGTATCCTCCTGATAATTTTATTTGATTTTTTTTTACGACAAAAATGGACCAACATCAAGGTACTTTACAGAAATAGCTGGAACTATTTTCCAGTCAAAACGGGGGAGGCATTCGAAGTCTTAATTCAAAACCTTGTACTTCACTATAGGTTCCTGTGCAAGGATCCCTTGATACACGGCTCAGGCAGACGACCAACAAGTAACATCTTTTGGTGATACCATTTTTCAGACCAACTTGGTAACAAGTTCAATATGACACAGATTTGGCAAGTTCTTTTCTTCGAAAGATCTTTAACTACCACCCTGTAATGATGATGACGTATGAATGGACATGAAGGATGGGGATGATTTTTGAAATTCTGTCTACAGCACTCCTCTTTGAATGCTATAGATTCAGGGTGATGAACTGGCTCCTTACATTGGGGTTGCCATTTTGCATTTCCTTCAGTTGTTTGTGTCCCTGTATCATCTGCTCACGGCAAAAGAAATAACAAGCCAGGCCTTTAAAAGTGGGGTGACAGGCCCAATGTGTGGAGGTCAAACATCAAAGTTAAAAACATGAGTGAAGAAAAATTGAAGTAGTTTCACATCACTCTCAGATTAAAGAACACACATTTTATGATGTTCCACACGCACTGTATCATGGTAAAAAAGGGCAAATGGGGAGAAAACGCAGACCAAAACAAAACCTGCTTTTAATTTGCTAGGTCTGTAAAGATGAAAAATCTTTTCTACAGCAAATCTTCAGACTTTTGGCAACTTGGTGCACTGACATGTATGACTACGTGATAAATTCCCAATCTGGCATTTTTACAATTACTCTGCCGCAGTTTGCTAAAAATGGAATCTCATCTTACACTGGCTGTTGGAATAAGTAGCTGTTTAGTCAAAACAAAAGATAAAAACACAGCAGAGTATGTTAATAGTTGAAGGAAATCAAAACAGCAGGAAAGGTTAAAAAATACATTTGGTGAGAAGCCCTGAAAATATGGAAAATGGAGACATATTTTCTTCACACTCTTTGCGACAGTCAATGATTTAAATTTTGCAGAAATCCAAGTATTCTCATCATGTTTCGCTTTGATGTTTGTTTTAACCATTCTACATCATTAACTCAACCATTCTACCTCCTGAATATCCAATGTGACTACCTAAATGTGTTCACTTCAAACATTTATTGCAAACTAAATCTACAGTAGCCTAAAACTGTAATAATGTGAGTTGTTTACCTGTCCATTGAGCAAAAACTTTCGAAAAAAGAATTTGTTTCATAAATTAGTCATCTCTTTAGTAGGGTTTGGGTCTATTGAACTTAAAAACAAGAAAGGTATAACTTTAATGAAACTCAAAGACAAATCCACCAGAAAACTAAACTGAACCAAATGTTTGTTATTGATTGTCCTTAAGAATATGCTCCACAAGTTCAATTACGTCTATGTAACAAACCAGTTCCTTGTCAGGATCATTTCAAATACAAAGATAGAGTGGCTTTTCGTAGTATTTGGATTGACCACTGTGACTGCCAACTCCACCAGTGGCTGCCAACCTGACCACTGTGGCTGCCAACTGCACCACTGTGACTGCCAACTCCACCACTGTGGCTGCCAACCTGACCACTCTGGCTGCCGACTCTACCACTGTGGCTGCCTACCTGACCGATGTGGATGCTGACTCGACCACTGTGGCTGCTGACCTAACCACCGTGGCTGCCAACTCCACCACTGTGGCTGCCAACTCCACCACTGTGGCTGCCAACTCCACCACTGTGACTGCCAACCTGACTACTGTGGATGCTGACTCAACCACTGTCGCTGCCAACTCCACCACCGTGGCTGCCAACTCTACCACGGTGACGGCCAACTCCACCACCGTGGCTGCCAACTCTACCACGGTGATGGCCAACTCCACCACCGTGGCTGCCAACCTGACTACTCTGGCTGCCAACTCAACCACCTTGGCTACTGACTCGACCACCGTGACTGCCCACTAACAAAGACCATTGTTACAGTACTCTGCTGTTTAGGGTACAACCCATGTAAGCCATCTGACATCGTATTAGACATGACACTAACAGGTAACTGGTTTGACATTGCACTGAACAAGTGAATTTCTTTTGGACCTACATAAGCAAGAAAGGACACCAATGAGAAAAAGACAGAGAGATCAGGCCATTGAGGTCTTACTTTGTTCAGCATGTGCACTCTGGTCTTGAGCTTGGTGCCTGTACTGAAAGCCACTGCCGAGACCGAGCGGAAGAACGGCTCAAACTGCTGCTCTTCAACTGGCTTCTCCTCCCATTGCTTGCAGATCTCCTGATGTTCACAATAAATAAACAAACAAACAAACAAATTACATCCACAAATACACATCCAAAAATGCCAGAGGCATTTTACCAACTTTTGGGCAAACTTAGCTATGTGGTATATTCAACAACAGCTGACAGCAACTCTAATTTTGAAATAGAAAGGGCAACTTAGTTCATCTTACTAAATCACTCAATTTGGCATCGTGAAGAAAATGGGCATAATGTGGGTGAATAATGTTCAGGGTTCCTACTACTTAAACAGTGCGTCATATTCTTTTAAAGGCCTCTAACTAAAAAGCAGCTCAGGCAATTTGCAACTCGTTTTGCTAGGTTGGCTCACAAATATATCAGAAGGTGTGACCTTACCTGTAGCCGACGTTCCTTCTTTTCCAGCCTCTCAAACTTCCTTTTCAGCAGGAGGAGTTCTCCTTTGATCTGCCCCACTTCATCCTGCCCATCAGCTTCTACAGCGGTGGAACTGATGTGTGCCTTGCGGCCAGAATCTTGCATGTTTTCCATCTGCCGAAGCTCCTGATGGTAACAAGCACGGTAACGTTATTATCTTTGCTATTATTGTACAAATTTACTCTTCAAGTTTTTGTCAGTGTTTTTGTTGTGAGATGGCAACACGATTCAAGGTTTTATATGGTACAAACTGTTGTTAAATTCTAGAATGGCCAACACTGCAGTCCGCTTATGCCCATCCCAGAAATGGACAAGACCAACACAAGACCTTGAGTGTGATTTTGAGTTGCAAACTGTTGGACCTGAATCAGGGGTATGAGTGGCCACTTAAAACTAAAGCTGAAAACAGCCAGCAAAAAGCTGAAATGTAACAAGTTCCCATACTTTTGTGCAGACCAGGTGTACAAAAAAAGCTGAAATTCAGGGTCAACATCTAAACAAAAAAAGCTGAATTCTCACACTCCTGTTCAATACTGTATTCTTTTGTCACTGTTCTTTAATAGTTCTCTTGCATATATACAGCAATTTTGAGGTATCAAACTTATTTATGAACATTTATGTAGCATACTTCTAGACTTATGGACGGAAAACAGAACCAACCAACCAACCAACCAAAATGGACTATTCATCACGTAACTCTGAATCGAAGAGGCATTTAAAAGAAACTGTAATCATGAAGCAGAAGTTGTTTTATTAGGAGATCAAGTCCAAAAACAAGAAGGACTGTTGTACAAGATACTGCTCCGAGACATTTCTTTCAGCCTCAAATTACGAAAAAAGCAGTGTTACTGAACAACGGCATCTGCAACATACCTTGGTAGTTAGTTTGGTCAACTTGTTGTCCGGCGCCGTGTCAATCTGCCGGCCGTAGACACTGAACTTGATGCTGCTGTTCTCAAAGTAACTGAGGACGTCCTCGGTGGTGCTGGGTATGGAGACAATGCGGCTGTGATTCCACTCCGGGGACAGCGTGTCTCTCTTCTCTGTCGTCCAGGTGTAATCTGTCTCTTGGTAACACTTATATTTGACCTTCAGGCCGTGGGAGAAGCGAGACTTGTGGATCTCCCCATTGCGTACAGTTACCTGTCCAGGGGAAATAACAAAAATATATAATCATATGGAGGTAACTCTACATCCGTGTAACATTTCGAAAGCTGTAACAGCTGTAAGCAAACTTATCAGCAGGGTACAAAAACCATAGTTACTGTCAACACTGTCTGCCGGCATTGAACCACTGGTTTTAGGTTGTTAATTTGACACCAGAGTGTTTAATTGAATGCCCAGGCCTGTAGGCTGGGGGGGGGGGTTCAAACAACCCCCCCCTGCTTCTGAGTTCTGCTTGTTTTGGGGGTTTTTTTTAGTACATACTAACATGTCTTGCATTATACATCCTTCAGTTCGTGACAAACATGCAACTTTTTCGAAGTTATGTTCCAAGGAACATCACAGGCCCTAGTATAAAAAATGTGTTCACAGTGCCAAAAGTTCCACTTTTGGGTATGACGAGCCCCCAAGTCTCCGGTCAGGCAACAGGCCTGATACCTGCAGGTTTTCCAGTGTAACATCAAAAGTTGAGTTCAAATGTTGGTCATCTTTTTACTGGAAATTTAAAGAAACATTTGAGGCTTCATGAATGAGACTGACTTTGTAGAATAAATGAAATTTTCAATAATGAATCTTAATTTAAGTTTCTTTAATCAAGAACTTTTAGGAACACAACCGAATATTATCTGGTACTTTCAGTTAAGTTTCACTATTTTGGAGGATGGATCACAGACAGTGTTTATTTGCTGAAATGTCCACAGTTCATTAGAAAATGTCGTCAGCATTTAAACATTCTGGTCAACACTTAGTGTTTTCTCTATAAGTCCATGTATGTTGATATAGACTTTTAACGATGGACAATGGTACGGTTCATTGTTGAAAATGTAGTTCATTACAGAAAAATATTGCGTTTAATTGAAGTCAAAAACTAACCTTGAAATGGTAAGGTTTTCCCAGCAGCTCATTAGGGTCATCCACAAACTCATCTTCTCCGATTGGTTGACCATTCTGGTTGCATGGGGTGATATTAACGACCAATGAGCCTTCTTCCTTACCCTGAAGAAATGAAAAGAGATGCATAATATGTGTTAAATGAACTACTTCAGGCTGGATGACATATAAATACGCAGGGACTTCCTAAACATGGACCATAAGTACGTTCTGACAATTTGTGTACATAGCGCCACATGATGATTCTAATCGTATTAATGTTTGAATTATTCCCATTGGGCTTGTATGCACACTGGCTCAAACTAGTGCATGGAAGTTGAGCTGTGGACCACAGATGAGCGTTGTAGCAATTGTCGTCCTATGACAATGTCTCGGAGTTTTGAATAAAGGAACAATGTGGTAAAAAGTGTCACACAAATCTTGAAGAAATGACCACAAAGGTTCAACATTTGTAAAGTGCAACTTTGTAGAGGAGAGTGGTTGTGGTGTCTTGTCATTTTGAAGAGTTGGTATTAAGGGCCAACAATTAAATCTCCCACCTAGGATAAGTGTGACGTGGAGTAGTACAACGGCAAGGGGTTAGAGAGGCTGCTTTTTTTGGATAATTTTAACACACCTAGTCTGTAGCCTTCTGAAAAAAAATTGAAGTTTCCCCTCCAGAAGTCGGTCCACAGTTAGCAAACACATGGTAAAAAAACCTGCAGATGCATTCTGTTGAAAATACTTTTTTTTTTTGTAGCAGTTTTTAGAAAGGTGTTAGACGCTGTGTTACATCATTAAGAGCCCTCAAGCTAACACCTGCATGGCCCTTCAAATGGAGGGTCTCAAATGTGAAAATTGTGTTTATAGCTGGATTCAGCATAAGGAGGGTAACGCCTTTTTTCATGCAGCATTCTCAGTTACATGTGAAACCACTGCAGAGGAGGGGAACTCTTCAACTGTTACGGACTACGATTACTTCCAGAGTTAAAATTACAGTTCAGTTGAACAACTGATTGAAATGAAATTCATGGCTGGTATATTTGCTGCGTTCAGGAATAATGGCCTTCATTAGAAAAATGGCTGAATCAGATTTTAAGTCTTGAAGCTAGTATCAATGTTGAACTCAAGGAAAATTGACATGCCCAGAATAGCACATGTAAGCTTATCTTTGTCCTTACTATAAAAATTCAACACTTCTGGATAGAAAAATCACAAACCTTGAAGTCAGTGACTGCAACCTTGTCATCAAAGTCCAAGTAATAGCCAAGACTCTGGAGAAAGACATTGGCCGTGCCAATCAGCACATCCTCAGGTGGCTCCCAGAATGGGTCCTCTTCTTTAGGTAGTTTCAAGACATCCTCATCGCCGTCAATGTACCTCTGGTACAGATCCTACAAGTGTGACATAGGGAAGGCAATATGAGGTTCATGTACAGATCAAAACGCTACGTTGGGATTTCAGTTTTGTTGAGCTGTGGCAAGTTTGTGGAAAAACTTGGGATGCTGCTGTACGTTAGGTAACATTTCCTGATCGATCTTCTATCAGAGCTCCCATTCACATGGCTTCATCTTCAGATCGCACAGTAGGAAGCCAGAAAGGGTACAATTCACAACACACCGTGCCGCCTCGTTTGCCTTGAAAGCCTTCATTTTCTCCCCCACATTTCATTATCTGTCTTTTATTATGTCATGTGCCCACAGGACATTTTAAGAGAACACTTTGACAAGTAGAGGATGGATTGGCCACAGTCTTAGTTTTAAAATTTACATAGCTGACAGAGAACATTGGATTACGACCTGCAATAAAGCAAGAGAATCATATGTGACAGGAGCCATCACACTGTGATCACGTGATACCTTTAAATTCAAAGCTCTTTGCAGAACTAAAATGTACACCCAACTACTGAGTGCATCAAGGATTGTACCTGTACGACGTATCTACGATTGATGAACTTCCCTCTCTCCCACAGCCAACTGTTTTGGTTCAGGAGGTCTTTCATTTTCACCATAACTCTGGAAAGAGCCAAAAAAAAAATAAGCTTAAGCCAGCCATGATCAATCACCTTCTTAATTCATGTTTATAGCAGTTTTACACCATTTGGAATAGTGTGCTTTTGGTGAAAAAAGTCTTACACACTGTGATTAAGAGAAGATAAAGTGGTACTATTGTAAAACTAACTTAGAGACAACTAACATTTTTACATACATTTAAAACCTGCAATAAACAACTATTTTCTTTATTACCAATTTGATGTAAACACTATCCACTAAATTTGACAACCTGTTCAGAGGTTTTGTGCCAGTTGAAAGGCACATCAGAGACCAGGCATTTCTGTAATGATAATACTAGAGATACAAATTCACCCAACAAAAAAACCTACTGGCATAACCAACAAATACTCTGCAGGTATTACACATTGAAACTGGCTGGAGCAACTAAGTTTACGTCAACTTTGTTTTGCTAAGTAAATGGGCTTGTGAAATCTCACTTTGTTTCCCTGTTTGTGCCCTCCTGTGCCTCCTCGCTCAATAGCACTATCTCAAAGCTCTTGTGTTTGTCTAACTCCTCACTGACAGCGTTGACCTCATTGACCATGGGCAGCAACTCAACGATCTGATCCTGCGTCCTCTGTTGATCTGCAGCAGGAAACAAGAGTCAGTGTTGAACTATACCTTAGAGGACAGGGTAATGTTCATCGTCTCCGACAGACTAAGTACACAAATTCTTGGCAACATCTTAAACACACAATTCCTGGTTTGGTATACTTCACTAAAACTGTGCAATGAACAACCGAGGTTTCACGAACTAACGTGAAGATATGCATACGTACACGGCTTACTAATCTGTCACTTCAAGATTTTGGTATTCTGAAATTCCAAACTAACACATAAGTATGTTTTGGATGTGTTTTTCAGAGGAGAATACTTGCAGATGTTGGAAACACATTATCTACTCATATACTTGTGAAATGTAGTAGCATTTAACTAAAAATAATTCTTACTGGGAATAAAGGTTTCATTTTGTACAAATAAAAAATGTCCCGAGACTTACACATGTTAGTGTGGGAAAATGCACATTATGGGAAATGCAAATACTCAACGCAAAGTGCACACAAGAAGCCTTTGTGTTACTTCATGAACTTAACAGGGATTGTAAGTTCTCTGCCAAAGATGTCAAAGATGTCATCTCGACAGAAATGGAATGATGTGAGTAAACTGTCTAGGCCTCTTACTGATTTACTTTGGAGAAAGAGCCTCGTGAAAGACGTGCAAAGGCTGTTTTTAAGGCCTTTAACTTTAACATGGCTTAGGTGACATGGTATTTTGTTAGGTTTAACCTCATATTTGTACTATAGCCAACAAACATCTTGATGTGCAAATTCTCTTACAAGAGACGTCAACAAACTGCGTTTTCGGATCATGCACAGACTACAATGTGCCTGACATGCATTTTGAAAGACAACTTCACAAACTCATTTTTGATCAATTTTTTACTGTTCACTTTGTGGCTTTGCCCATTGTTTTGAACCACAGCATCACAAAACTGGAGCGCCGTGACGCAATTATTTTCAAACTACCAACGAGGTCCATCCCGGCAATGTATCTGTACCTTGCGTGAGATTTCCGCCGGCCATCAACCCCCTGGCCTCCGCCAGCTCCTTCTGGGCAAATTCCCACTCCACCACGGGTGGTGTGCCCTCGGGGGCCTTGGGGTTGAGTGGGTTGTGGAAGACAAACAGGTGGTTGGAGCCGAACATTACACGGTCCAGGTGCTCCAGCGTGCGGGCACCAGCCAGCGGCACACCATTGACCTTGATCTTACAGCTGGAGCTGTAAGGACGCAGGGTGATCTCGCCATCATTGTTAGTGACTATGGCGTGCTGCTTGGAGATACTGGATTACAAAACAGAAGGCTTATGTCATTTGACACCGACCCTTTGCATACAGTGCCCATGTTAGAGATGTTCTTTTGTTATTTCAATGCAGTGATAAATGAATGCACTGAAGGCCTATTCATGTATTTCCATGTAGAACATAAGTGCTCATCTCAGAGATGGTTGCTGTACAAAAGATCTATTGTATAATTAGAAGCCATTTGGGGGGTCTGTTTTATTATTCAAATTCCCAAACAATGAATGTACGCAAGGTCTACTCATGTTTCAGAATACACAGCATTTCTTGATTCAATGCAGACAGGCTTCGGTTTCTGAATCTTGTGACTAAGTAACTCAGCCAAACTCTGGTGCCAATTGATCTGCAGCTAGATGGATGTCAGCTGGAAAAAAGCCGGTTATACAAATCCTCTGGCTAGTAACTTCAAATATCTGCCAGAAATTTGAACTAAATAGATTTGAATCCAACATACATAATTAATGACTCCAAGCAAATGAAATGAAACATCTTCACCACATTCTCAAAGCACAAACCTGATTGCCTTTTTCAAGAAAGCAAGGTTCACACATTCCCCCCCCTTTGACCTGCCAATGACCACCTTCCCGCATCTTCTCACTCACCTAAGTCCACTCAGCATGATGGTCGGTGGGGGGTCGGCGTCCTTCCTTCCGATCGTCGTCTCACTGGCGCCCAAGAAATGGAAGACCACATTGCTTAGCATGTGGTCCTCGTTGAGGTTGGCAAAGTGAGGCTCTTTGTTGCGCCGAGACTGTACGATGGCCTTCTGGTCCACTGCCTGATCCTCCTCTTGCATTTGTTGCTCATGCTGAAGGAAGAAAACAAGCATTAACCATTCAAAGTTAAGTAACGAATTTTATTCCTTCATGTGCCACTGTAAATTAACTGATGTTAGCACCAGTTTTGCCGTCAAGACCATCACAAGGCCAGGGGAAAATTTCATAGAGCTGCTCTAGCACAAAATTTGCTTAAGCACGGGAAAAACCTGCTTGATAAATCAGGAAACCAGTCAAAGTTCCATGTGATGTGTATTGTTTTGGGATCATATTTAGCTGTCTTTTGGTTAGCATAACAATCAGATAGAGTTTGAACTGGTAACCTTTGTTTTTTTAAGCAAGGTTTTTCACGCTTAAGCAAATTTTGTGCTTAAGCAGCTCTATGAAATTGGCCACACATAAGGCCATGCCCAAGATCAAGACCAGTCATGAGTGACAGGGTGGACAATTTCATCAAAATAGCTTTTGACCTGAATTCAGGCTGGAGGTCTTGTGTTGAACTTGCGATGATCTGGTGATGGTCTTGTGAGGTCTTGGTCCTTACAGGACTTTGTAGTATTTTTATTTGACAACTTTCACAACATCAACAGATACACGAGGGCTTTGGCTACGAGAACTGACCTTTTTGTCCCAGTCAAAGTCTTCCATAGCCTCTTGGTTGGCCATCAGCTGGGCCCTGATCTCTTCCATCATCTCTTGTCTCATCTTCTCTTTCTCTGAAGATGTAAACCAAAACAAAAACCAAGATGCTTAGGAAACCATGAAGTTGGAAATGGTTGGGGGAATGTGTCGTAACTGGTGACTAATTTTGAGGCCAGGAATAAGACAAAATGTCTTTCAAAGTAAAAGCAGCAGTTAGGGCAAGAAAGATCAGGTCACCGAGACCACAGTTCCCAGTTATTAAAGCATTCTTCCCCCAGGAAGATCTGAGACTTTCTTTTAAGCTCTAAGATTAGAACCAAATTATGCACTTTATAATGAAAGCCTATCATATTGACAAACTTCCAGGAGCTGCTATCTGAGTATGTAGTGAGACCAACTGGATGTGAGCTGATGCTATAACGATACAAGGTTGTCCCAAACAAAGCCTTTATTCTAAAATTTCCCTCAAAATTACACTTGACATGGGACTGTCCACTGAGGGATTCAATTTGTTTTGAGGCAGTAGCACTAAATGGGTTACTGTTAGGCCTGTGCCGGGTACCCGGGTACATAAGCAGCATACGTAAAAAAAACATCTTGATCAATTAAAATTGATGCTCTGAATACAGTCCCAAATCTTCTACCCCCCAAAAAATCCACAAGGAACAATTCTTTAGTTACAGCATGCAGCCAGCGCAGGGAACTTCGTTGACCATTTCCTGCAACGCACTGCAAAAAGTGGCCTCTCAGTGATAACCTCCTGTTGGTACATTGCTTCCTCCATCGCCCATACTGCCTACGATGAAATGTCTGTGGCACATCTACCAAAAGTTATTGCAGCCCATGCTGTCCAGGTCAGTCCACTCATGAACTTATTAACACCTCAGGTACAGATTATAAATGTACAGGCCCAGCCTACCTTCAGGTGTCATGTTCACGCCCCCTTCTGGTGCTACAATCCCGCCTCCTGACATGGCATTCTTCAACCTCTCGTTCTCTTCCCTCAGCTCGCGGATCAGCTTCTCCACGGGGTTCTCGTTGACTACTGCTTTGTTCTTGATCTTCTTGGCCCGGTCTGCGTAACGCAGTGTGCTTAGGGTCTCGTCGTGGTTTATGTCCGCAGGGGAGAGGGCAGCAATCATGATAGTTTTGCTGTGTTAGGAACAGACACAGGAAAGGGGTTATTTATTTACAAACAATAAATGAAAAGACTTTTATTTATTTCTAGTGTACAGCGCAGAAATTAAAGAGGGGTAAAGTCTACTTCCCCAACAGTCCTGAGATATAATAATAATGTCACACTTTGTTAACCATGCTACAGTCAAAGCAACCAATTGGAAATGTGTGGAATGACTGTTGGGTAGGTTTGAGAATTCTTTGAATTCTTGTTAATCAAACCCATTTTGTCAGGTTGCAATCAATCAAGCCAATCTCAGGTCATGTCACACAAGTCAATTAACAAATGAAAGGGGACGAACAATGATGAAGTGGTGAAGGGTATTCCTTTGTCCAAAATCATTTGCATGGCTTGAGACTGTATGAATGATTGACTGACTTATTGGGATTTCGTTGAAAATCCGATCGTTGATGTTATGATGGGAAATTGGAAACCGTTGGTCCTGGTGTCTATTACGCATAAACTGCAGTGGCAAACAAAATTTCATATAAAACCACAAAAAATCTCAGTGTCTTTTGTGAAAATCCATTATGTGAGCAGCACTGAATAGCACAGCCCCTGACCTGGTCCTACAATACCATGTGGAACTCACACATCTGATTTGTTGGACAATGATTTCAAACCAAATCAACAGATCAATTCTGTGGGTCATGATCATCTTTTACCTGTTGCCACCGAGAGCATTTTGCAGGAGTTTGGTCAGCACTGAGTCACGGTAGGGAACAAGTACTTTCTTCTTTCCCATAGACAGGTCAGCCAAGGCCTAAAGAAAGTTTTAAAAACATGATCAGTCTACCTGATCTGGGTATTTGCCTGGGAAATGGTTATGCGTTGCAACTTTCAATTAATCCTGAAATTCTTTAACACTTCAAACCGTTTACATTTGCCGGAACACTTTTGCCCATAAAATTAGTAAGCACACTTCCAAAGTCATGTAATCCTCCAAAGCATACTAACCCTTAAAAACTACTTTAAGTTCTTTGCATGGTGACGCAGAGAATTAGTGAATGTAGCAGTCTCGAAGCTTCTGAGATTTTGGCAGTTCTAATTTGCCATAATTTCTTTGTTTGTATAGTCTTCTAACTACCTGAGCCTCTTTTGGGTTTTTACATTTTGTTTTTGATTTTGTGGCTCTATGTATTTGGTATAATTCCTGTTTATTTGACTTTTTTAGTGTTCATTTTCTGGAATAATGGTTTTGGGTTTTTATCTGTGATCTTAAAATGATTTAGATTTTCTTGAATGTATTAAATATCATGCTATCTGACACTAAGTTGAAAACAGAGATGGAAAAGATTATCTGTCTTGGATGTTAACAAATAATTCTACACAAGCTACATACGCTTGTAACGAATTTCAGCAAGGTCTCTAATCAAGTGTGCCTAAAAGGAAAATTCCTGCCAATGTTAAAAGCAGATATTCAGCTTTGAGATGGAAGTCTAAATGCTGCAGGTGTCAAAGGCACTTCTGAGAAAGGGTGGCGGAGAAAAGAATGGACTACCACAACTTACCGAAATGACATTACCCAGTGATGACAGTGATTTGTTGATGTTGGCCCCTTCCTTGAGTCTGTCTCCAGTGGCGCCTGTGCTGTCTGCACGCTCGCTTCCTGCAGGAGGATTGGGGAGGCGGGGGCGAGATAAGATCATGAGATAAGAACAAATCTGCTGATTACGAGGCGATGCAGGGAGATGAACAATACCAAAGGATTTTTTTGCCAAATCTGAACTGAGTAACTTGTGAATTGACATACTGGATGACTTGTGATTGGTTTGTGATGGGCTGATGGTGTCTTGCTTACAATTCTGTATGACGCACGTAGCAGTGACAAGAAAGTACTCAGAGGTAACAACACTGATTTCAACAGGAGAGTTAAACAAGAATGATGAATCACAACTGTCATCTTAACCATTAGGTGGCATCGAGTGGATGGCTGCTACATTTGCAAGGACTCTCTATCGCTACGCACCTGCCAGATCCACCAGGTTGATGACACTGGTCTTCTTTGTCTCTTGCCCAACATCGTTCTTGCTGATCTGGTCAAACTGGATGGTAACTACGGTGTGAGCACGACTACTTGTGGCATTCATCTGGGTGGCAGCTACTGTCCGGTTAGAGGTACCTGTAATAGCAGTAACCACAAAAAGAGAATTATTAATCTTGTTATTATCATCACAATCCACATACAAGCTTATTTAGGGTACATTGTACTGAAGTTTTTGGAGGGCAATACATCCACAGTGAACTTCCACAATGCTCTATTAATGGTTGAAATTTTAAAAGAAGATGTTACAGAACACACTAGGCCATTTTGAAGCTGTTTTCGATAACATAACGTCTAATTCACAGCAAGGTATCTGGTATTCAACCTGCTTTGCAGAAAAACCTTTTTCCAACAAATAGATGTGTGAAAGACAAATAAAAGAAAAGGTTGCAATGACTGGGGAATCCCCCAACCAGCCTTACCCTCCTCAATCCTGTTCTCGATCTCCCTGTAGCTCCCCACGGCCACCTTCTTGAGTGACTGGACATAGAACAGGCCCTCCTTGGGGTTCTGTCGGACCTGCAGGCCACCCTTGGGGTTGGTCTTTTGCAAGAGGTCTCGCACCTGCTCATTATAGATCTCCAGCATGGAGAATGTGACTTCATATTTCTGTGGGATGAAAGGACAACTGACAGTTACAATCTACATGTACAAATACAACCTTCAACAAAGAGCAAACTTTGCAGATGTCTGTGAAATGAAAACTCCCAAGTGTCATTATTTACTATTGTGTAAAGTTTGGATCCCCTCGACACGAGACAAAATGTGAGGGGATTTCAAAACTGAATTTGTGGTTTCAAAAACCTGATTTCTTATTTCAGCTTGAACAGTTGCTCAAGACATGTCCATGAATAAGAAACCCTTACTGATTAATATTTTAATCAATGATATGATTTTCATTTCGAAAAATTTTTAGACCAAAAAGGAGCTGAAGTGATTTACATCGATAATTTCCCTTCACATCATTCAAGAGTTTGTCTACATTACTCCAACCACTTTTATGCGGGATAATGCTCCCACTGCATGCCAAATGCAGCAGAGACATTTCAATTGGATCAACAGTGCCTTGTAATCAGACAATATGCATGGAGTACTAAATCTGATAGAATCAAGATGATAGAATTAACACACCTAAAACATAATGACATCACGCTTTGTTTACAAGTGCCCTTTCCTATGGCAGTTCGATGGATCATGTCCCACATCACTGCAGCAGGAGAGCGAACATGTAAATGAAGTGTGAAGTCATTACGTTATAGGTCTATTTGCTCCGAGACCTAACACTGTGACAGCTGGTTGCCTGTACCTGAAATCTACAGTGGCACCATATAATCTCTACTCGTTGGTAGGAGCAGAGTGCTGACGAGTACCAGTGCAGTTACTCAACATTTGGACAGTATGCTCTATGCATATGCTCCATCCATGGTCGGTCTCCCAATGTATGGACAGACATGTCCAAAAGTTCATATACCGCACAGGTTTATTTTGTAAACTCCACTCACTCCAAAAGGAGATTATTATAGGGTTCTATGGCAAATGTACACCCGTTGGTTGCCAACATTCATGTTCAAGAAATTGCAAAATGTGCCTTTGAACTGAAATGCATTAGTCTCAACGTATCAAATTCACAGAGCTACAAAATGGACTCGCAAGGTCACACTGTCACCTACTGGAACACAGTTTTGCAACAAGGTGCTAGATTTCAGGGTATGCATTCATGTCTACTAAAGAGAGAGAGGAATGATTGGGCCTACCCCAGCACCCACATACAAGGTGGGATGCTGCAGCACCCACAGCTACCCCCCCCGCAGGTTTGACAACTCCCAGTGAGCCGTTTAAGGTCAACAGTAACCAACTTCAAAAGCAAGGAAAGTCAAACACTGAAGGTAAACCTTACCACTTTGCCATCGCCACTTTCTATTGTCTTGAAGAGGACATCACAGGTGATTGGAACAATGCCCCTAAGAACAGAAACCAAAGAGAAGAAATGTTCTTGTTTACTTTCCACAAATGCCCATTCCCCAAACCTGTCATACTTCCCTAAATGAAAGGTTCTACCAGTCATTTATTAACATTCTGTATTGGGTCACTCCTTCAAATTTTTGGAATGAGAAATCTTTCCCAAGTAGCACATACTTGCATTGACAACCCACTGATCGGTTCACGCTCATGAGGCTTTGGACTTTAGGCTAAAACATTTCTATCCTATTTTTCAAACTTATTGATTGCTCTAAAAGTAACAACTTACTTGTTTGGCCCATAGCCCACCATAGAGTACGACTTGCCAGAGCCTGTTTGACCATAGGCAAACAGCGAGCAATTGAAACCTGAAAGAAAAACAATAGACATATTAATACAAGAGCGATAAGAGGTAAAACCTGCTTAACTCTTTATCCTTGTTTTTATTTAATGTACTTACATGTATTTCAGTATTTTTCCACTTACCTTGGAAGGCATTGTCCAAGACCCCTTGGCCCAGATCGTTGAAGACGTTCTGTTGCGATGCATAGTTACTGCCAGGGTTAGCAGCCAGGATACCATCAGGCTGCTCTGTGAAGCCATCATGTGACCTGCAAAAGGAGCAGAAACAGAAAATAAGCGTAAATAAATATGAACATGAAAATAAACGTGGATGTTCCAACAGCACAGTCTTGGCCAATGGCTGTACATTTCACATTTTCTGCTACTCAGGATCAAGTTTTGAAGATTCACTTCTTAGAAACCGAGACTTAAATAAAAATGAAGACAAGTATGGGGAGGGGACAATGTCAACACAAACAGATGAGTCATTGGACACAGTGGGTCTTTGTGTAGGAAGTTAATACAGAGGCTAATGTTCAAGGCAAGGGTGTGACGTTTACACATTTAAACATTTAAACAAAAGTTCCAATTTGTTTACAGATTTTCCAAACATTTATACGGATCCACCCCTTTTAGAGGTTTGATGTTTTAATTGACGCAATCTGGGGTTCAGTTTTATCGTTAACGATGCCTGGAAAATGTAATCTGATTTTCAGAACACTTTACTGCTCGGTCATATCACAGGAACACCATGATTTCATCACCGGAACTTTATGTGAACTATTTACATTGTATACAATTTGTTGTGTATAAAGTTTTCAATGACACCACGGTAAGGGTGAGAAGTTTACACATTTAAACATTTAAAAGGTATGGAAACGTTTTCAAACGTTTTTCAAATTAAATGTAAATTCTCATCCTTACTCCAAGGAACCCACACACAAGCGGTTCAGCAGAAAAGGAATCCTTAAACTCTTTCCTTTCCTGGATGCAAATATCTTTGTGTTCAGACTGTACTAATGTCTCCAGAGTGCTCTGGAGAGGGCAGGATCTTCCCAGGAGACAGTGCCAACATCTCAGCTCTGGACGGTGGTTATTAAAATCCCTTGACAGGCATTCCCAGGGATCGATACCCGTTTTGTGTTTCAAGCAACACGCTGTTACATGTATTTGAAAGAGCCTAATCAGCTCTTCACATGAACAAGAGATGGTGTGTTTTATACCTGTGTTGGACAATCATGGTATACCTACACACGTTTATGCATGTTAATAGGCAGAAGGATGCGTATACTCATGTGTCTAATCATTTGCTCAGGGTACTGGGGTGCCACAGTCCCCATCAGCCTCTCCCTTCTTTGCCAGTGAGGGGGTACTTCAAGTCAGAGCTGTTGCTACGTCAGTAAGACTGCTTTGTGTTCCCTTCCCTTTCTTATGCACCCTCTCTTCCATTTTCCTCTCCTATCTCCACTTTTCACCCGCTTAGTTTATAAAACTTGTTCAGAGGTACGAAACAGCCATAATACATTGTACCTGTGTCATTTCTCGTGTCACATCATACAATATCAATTTGTAATCGACCTGATTTATTGAACTCATTTGTATCCTGGGGAAAAAATTAGACAAATGAAGCTCACCTGTTGCCAGACATGCAAGGTAAACAGATAATTGAATACATGTAATAGACTGATAAGAAATATGAGGGACTGAATTCAAAGTCCATACACAGCTTTTGCCATGTCCTTTATCTGCATCAGTACAGACCTAATTGAAATATCATTGGGGTTAACAAAGGTCATGGATTGTTTGCAGTGCAATGCTATATGAGATCTATCTTAAATCCGTGTCAATTGTGTTGTTTGCTTTCTGGACATTCAATAACGTGATTTATATTTGATGACCAGACACGTTTCTTACTCAACCATGCATTATGAATACTCCATCTTTTTTTTTTTGGACAGATCTGCCATTTACCTTGTGCTTACACAAACAAAGCAATCATGATGTGTTGATTGTTCGTGCTTTCTCAAGTGTGGAATGCTTTGGTACCTTTGTGAAAATGGTCCTGACATTCAATTAGTCATATGCTTACACACACACACACAGACACTTTGTGTTGTCACCTTGGTAACGCCTGTGGTGCAGCAATCACTTAGCAACAGCCAGTAAGATTCAGGAAATGAGTTTCTGCATAAACTATTGTACACATTTCAGCATGCGTTAACGCTACATGTATTCATTACAATCACTACAACCAACAGCTGACTGACAAATTCACTCCATCTTCATTTCTGAGTATGGCAGGCAATAAACCATGATATCAGACATCAACTAAAAAAATGGTGGATACCATGTTTCATTTATAAGTTTTCTAAAAGTGTTTTTGCACATTCTGAAAAAAAAACTCTCCCTATTGCTGATACAACAAATTAACCACACTGAAGAAAGAGGGGCATTGTAAATCAAATGTGAAAATCAGTAAAATGCACCTAGAAAAAACAGCCCAAACACAGAGAGGGAAATCCATTCAGCTTCTTGCACTTTACATCTGACAGGTCAGTTTCTCATTGTAACATCAACACGATGACAAAGTCATAACTGCAATCTGTAAATCCCTTCCCGAACACTTGTCTGAATTTCAACAATAATAAATCACTGCTTTTATGATAATATTTAACACTTTCCCACAGGTAATGTACTTTGCTCAAGCATAAAACTCATCGCCTTGCCGACAATTTTGGTTATTCTTTAACCTGACAATAATCACCACCTGTGAAGGTGATCCATCTACACAAATATCACTTGGCATTGTCACAATTCTTAACTGAAGATAAATGTAAGCCAAAGTAATGTATAAAACCAATATTCACAAATTTATACTTGAATCAATAGCAAAATTTTGAAAGGTTCACTCTAGCACTCAGTACGTACTTTTGGGAAGGACTTTTCTTGACAAAACTTTCCAATCCACAGATGTGAAATATTAATGACCAAATCTACAGAAGACTTTAATTGGGCTGATGAATATTTCAATAAAATTGGTCACTGTCATGGCTGGGGGCAAGGCATTAACGCTGTATGTAAAAAAAACTTAACAAGGAAAAATGATCAAATCAGAGGAACATGCACGTGTACAATATCACTGGTGGATGGGGGGTGCCATCCCCAAGCTTTTTCTTTAAATAATGACAGGTAATTTTTGGATATTTTCATTCATCTTTCTTCCCAAAACATGTGAAAGCCGCCCTAAATTTAGCCCACCCCTCAGATAGGAAATACATGTAAAAGGTAACATAAAGATTCCATTTTTTGGCCCCTCCAAACCTCCCCCCCCAAAAAAAAACCCCCAATTTTGGCTCCCTCAAAAATTTGGCTGTGGATTCATTCTTGCACATACCGTACAAGTATGCATGTAAACAAGTATAAATTATAATCTATCCAACATAAGGTGGTGTCCAGCTATTTGCTTTGAAAAGCATTCCTGACTTTTGAATTGGCTCTGTAATTTTTTTCACTTCAAACCTTGAAAATGTGCCTTTTTATTTCAATCAAGTTTGTTTTCAGTTTTATTTTGCTTTATTAAAAGGTATTTTGGTGCCTTTTCAGGTTTTTATGTTAAGGCCAATTCCCATATCATGAACACGACTATGTCATCCAGGGGAGAAAACCTCCATGTAGTACTGATTTGAGAGAAAAACTGCCAAAATATTCTTTTACGTTGGTATCCTGAATATCCTTTCTTTTGGTTATTTATTGCTGTGTATTGCACATGGTAATAAGTCAATGAGCAACTATTGCTTAGAAAAGTTTCAAAGAGCAAAACTGGGTTCGCACCTTTTAACAGAAATCATGAAGGGAATAGTGCTGAGTGATATCTTAGCAACACTGTCCTCAGTCATCAGGATAAGCATGAAAACCTCTTAATGTTTAAAAACATGGACTTTTCAAGGCATCAAGCGTTAAGTTGAAGAGAAAGTGCATCTTACAAAACTTCCCTCCATGAAACCTTTAACACTTCAGAAGTTAATGGTACTGAAAGACTTTAAACTGACTAAACAGCCAAGACTTTCCTACATATAGTTTTTTCTCTCCTCAACACAAACACCTTTACCCCTCCGGGCCCCCCCCCACGAAGTTGAAACTATTATCAATGTTAACAGCCTGACCAAATGCTTTTCATGGCTAGACAGACTGAGGTGGGATTTTCCCTAGAGTCTCCCACGCACAATAGTGGTGACTGTATAAAGTGCTTGCATTCTGAACTCCACCTATGAACAAAGATGCAGCCTGTGTACAGGAACTTTAAAATTCAACTGGATCACTTTGTCTCAGTAACTGGCATTCATGTACTTCAGCATCACTAATGTTCTATGAATTAATACATCATAAGCAGGCTCTTTTCAAGGTTTTTTCCTTAATTTGTGGCCAGTCTTTATCTGGCTTGATTAAGCATGGGTTTCTTTCAAATTGTGATTTAGTATAAAAATCCTTTTTCATGGTCAACTTCAGAAAATGAAAAAATAACAGAGTTTTGAAAAAGCATGCCACCTTTGCAATTACACCGGCTCCATATTCTCGGTTTTTTTTGTGCGTGGTTTTTTTTTTTGCTTTCTGATTTGAGCAATTCGATACTTCAGATGTGGGAAATAAAAGACATATAAACACGACAGATAAAAACACTGGTGAGCTCTGCAAAAGAATATGCTTTAAGTTTTTTTCATGAAAGCCTCCTTTGAATGACAAATACTGTTATAATCAGGATTCTGCATGATAAATGAAGAGGAATTTCAAATGTCCATAGTGTCATAGTTCAAACCAAACTTTACTGTCTTTCATTTCATTTTCTTTGGAATGACGTTTGAGGCTTTTATCCTTCTTGCTTTAATTTATAAGCATTCATTTGTGATTTTGCATTTTCGCTTCCATGTATAAGGCCAAATAAAAAAATTGTTGTGTTTCCTATTACACTGAAAAATAAATTAGGGTGGTTGATTGGGTAAAAAATTTTATTTACTCTAAATCTTTATAGCCCAAAAAATTAGGGTCGGATGATGATCTGTATTTTTTTTTGGGGGGGCGCATATATTTGTAGCACTAAGTCAGTGTCAGATTAATACTGTACATGCGCATGTCAATGTCACATACATCAGCACTGTGATTGCGTAGGAAAGCAGTTGGTTATTGAAACAGAAACACACAAGAGCCGTCCATCTCATGCAAAACCAAAATAATTCAAACAATACAATGTAGAGGACGATGTACACAAAATTAGGCTCGGGCAAGGCACCAGAAGTTTTTATATTTATTGATTTGTCAAATAAAAAGATATAGGTTCCCCATGATTTTCTAGGTTGGGTGGGGTAACCGGAAACACAGCTATTTTTTTGTTTGGCCTAAGTAAACCTTGAAATTTTGATAAATAAAACTGATAGCATATATATAAAGACCCAACACATTTTACAATCAAGGTGCTTAAAATTCATTTGATATTGCGATCACCGATTTCCCTCGTGGTCATGGCCACACTGAATCAACAGTGACACAAAATTATTACTGAACACTTTCCCCTGATGCAATTCCTCTTTTCCCACACATACTATCAACGTAACACTACAGATTGAAAACCTATTCCGTTGAATCTGTTACACTTGTAGAGTCATCATGGTTTGTACTTCATCACATCAACAAAAGCTCCCATAAATGTCATAGCACATCCGCAACCAAGCAACAAGTACACTTGTGTATGCAGCGTTGCCCGGTTGCTATGTACACACCTGTGGTGGTGTGCACACTAAACCTCTCAAGCTGGTAGGAGTTTTGATTGTCTTGCCAGCTCAGTGGCTCCACTGTATACAGGACTGTACAATATCCCCCTGGCTCGCCCTTACAGAACCTGTGACTCTGACCCAAACTAATCCCTGTGTTATGTAAATTACACCATGGATGACAATAGGATCTGACAGTGGTACCACACAACACATAGCTAGGAAATGTGGGGATGTTATTTGCACGCAACGGGATACAATACTTAAAAGTACTGGCCCCTATGAGGAGTTTATGTCTCAGCCATCAATGGTTTTTTGGGGGGGAGGGGTTTGTATTGACAAATGTCCAGTTAGGGGTAAACTACAAAGTCACTGTTTGCTTTGAGCCACTGCGGCAACAAACTTGATCCCTACACTGAGACTGAAGCTTTTTTGTCAAAGAACTCCAGTGGAGGTAGGATTTGCTCTGAGCGGTTCAATTCATCTCAAAGGTGATAACAGAATAGAACCCACAACAAGAAAATCTCCATGGAAACAAGGCTCTGTGCCAAGCACATAGCCGGGGTTTAGTTTGCCTACTGCAAGTTGGAATTTTCCTTCTGTTGAAATCAAAAATGAAGTGATGAAATCAAGAGTAAGACAGCAGTTAATTTCAGAAAATTTGGGGGAAAACAGTATAAAAAGCAACACTTTTGTCATTTGTTTTCCTAGTCCTCAATTTGCATTTATAATCAAATTACCATCCTGAGAATCTTCCTATCAGTGTCTTGATTTTGCTCTCATTAAACTAACAAGCCCCTTGCATACTCCACTGTTGCATCCACTAACAGTACTTCTGCTGCATGTCTGCAAGACTACGTCAGATAAATCTGTGAAGTTCTTGAGGAAACTCCACAATTTTCAAGTCCAAACAATTGATGCTCCAATCAAAGTTTGGCCACATAAAACATTTTCCTACCGAAGAAATGATGAAAGCGGAAGCCTTTTTTTCCACATATTTCAAAGAATCAAACATATCAAACAGATTTTTCCCATGATGCCTACATTCACGTTTGGCGGAGGTTACAGAAATATCACCCCCTTGGTTGGAGTAAGATTTTAAATCAAAATGTACAATTACCAGAGTCCTGTTAAAGAGGGTAGTATTTTCATTCCGGATTTACATTTATTTATTATTTAGTATACTAGTAGCATCATGGGATTATATTCAACACTTGGTGAATTATTCTTTTGTTTTGTACTAATGCTGAGCCTTAGTTTTACCAGGCACTAGTGTGTAAAAATACAACTGGGATGTAGACAGAGCAGACATTACAAACTGAACATTTGAAAAGGTTTCTGAAATTCAATAAATTTTCAGCATCAAACTTACATACTATGCTTGATTTATCAAGATTCTGTGGAAGGCAAGTGGGAGGTTAGGACTATTCATTTTTACATTCCTTTGAGAAAAATATTTGGGCATCTAATCACGAACATATGCATATCAAAGAGAGTTTTGCCAGAATTAATCCTGTAATTCACGAGGCAGAACAATAAACCGAAAAAAAAATTAGAAAACTTGATAACATTACCCCTGAATAAAAATAACCCTTCTCCCCAGATCAATTCAGCAAATGCTCATCATATTAATAATGGAGTTAAGTCAACATATTTCCTTTTTTCCCTGGTACCCCTCATGTCAGTCTATGCTTGACCCCCGGTGACAAACCATCTGTTCAAAGATTCCCCTGATCAAGGGCTGCAGTAAAATAAAAACTGTTGACAAGCCTCCTTCAACACAACCACAACAGAAGCAGGCATTATTGCTCCTGCAGACGACCTGGCCATATACATGTACATGTATTGACTTCCAGACTGAAAGTACACAGCTAAATATTTACAATGCCTGGGGTGTAATATTTCAAGTGGCCCAAGGGCAGGAGACGTCAGAGGGCATTTTGTCAAAGAAAAAATCATCACTTGCACCCTTTAAAATATTCTTCAGTTGCTTGCTAAAGTTAGCTAGGGATACCCAATTTGGTACCCTCTGCGTCTACACCCACAATAAACATGTCTGCCATTCCCACAACCTTACACAATTATTTCCATGTCAGACATGTCATGCAATTAGTCCGCAACCAAACTCTGCCGAGTATAAATCTCTGTTTGTACCCTAGCAACACTGTCCTGAGCCAGCGGTTTACACAAATGAATGCTCTTCAGCAAGTCTGGGTTTGGCCTCATTAATCATTGAATGCTATCTGCCCATGTTGCATGAAAGTATGGTATGTAGCCCAACCTTTGATAGCCGAGGAGATATCATGCGCATAAACATTTACTAGTAAATGCAGGGAAGCAGATGTATTTTCACGTGAGTGGCGGTCCACTGAACTCAGACACTACAAGCAAGAGATGCTGGAAGTTAAAGAACCATATGACAGAAACATTTCAGTAAAATCCTTGAAATTGCACCTCTGTGTTACAATTAACCTTTTTAAAAGATTTTTATCTTGGGGCCTTTTTTGGTTTTTGTGCTAATATGAATTTACATATTCATGACAAAGCTGTAACGTTACCTCAGTGTTGCATTGATTTGTGCACCACAGATCACCGGTAGTCAATGTTTTTATACTTTGTTATCAAGGATTTCCATTTCCTTTGGCCATTTATCATTGTATTTTTAAGTAGATGTACAGTATATATTGCAAGAAGCCAGCGAGTAACTTTTCCTCAGACACGTTTTCAAAGCAAATTTGGAGTTCAAAATTTGAACATGAAAATATACAAACTGAATGGTGTCCTCCTAATTTATACATGTGTCACACTCACAGCGTCCTCACTTGTCAGGAAAAGATTGGTCAATTTTGAATGTCTAAACAAGTCAACTTAACAGTTCACTCATTTCAAATAGTTTTCATACCTTGCATGCAGAAGAGTTTAAACATGCACAAAAAGTGATTCCAAGAAAAATCATTGCATTGGCACTTTAACAACTATTCACTTTCTGTTTGAGACGTTAATTCTATCTCTGCAAGTACTGGGAAGGAAGGGACATTACATGTAATATTACCATGTGAGACAAACACCACTTGACACAGAAAAACTAGCAATAGTTTCCCAAATCTCTGTAACGTACACCTGTTTCCACCCAACTTTGAAAAAAAGTCAAATTTTTACATGTTAGAAGTAGCAGAAAAGGAGCTTACTCAATTTCACAAGAGTAAAGTTCTCCTTTTACATGTAAGCCCAGTAGTGGTGTCAGTGTATTAACCTCATTATGGGTCAATGAAGTTTACGTGTATTTGCTTTGCAAATTTCTCTCTATTTTGTACTGAAATTTTGCGAACAAGGTGGTCAAAAACTGTTGTGGCAAACGTCCATCCCAATCACATTTAATTTAATGTTCTGCCTTGTTCACAGCTGCAGGGTTTGCAGTCAGATACCTCAGACGTTATTATTTGCAATATTGAAAAACCAATCCCTATGACACACGCCTGTAGATATCCGTTAATTGATTAACCTTTTTGCATGAAAAAGTTCTGCTTTATTACTCTGCAGCTACTGTCAATTAGTACTAGTAGGTAACTTTGTGTGAACACTAACATCTGAAGATCTTTACTTTTGGCAAAACTTTACAGCCACTCTATGAAAATGCATATAGAGGTAAATGTTACCTCCATACATCATAAAACGTAGGCACTTTTCCTTCTTCCTCTCTTAAGTTTTTCATGTCCAGTAGAGTTCACATCCCATGAAGTGCATAAAACAAGGTGCAATCCATTGATGAAGGAGTACAATTTGTCACTTCACTCTTTGTCAACGACTACTGAGTGCGTTTTAATCTAAAAACTGTTCAGTAATTTGCTTTGACTTGGTCTTTGAAGTATTCCTTACAATACATAAAACATGAGATAAAAAATACTCGCAACTTTAAAAATGTTCAGTTTGAGGTTTTGGGACACTTGTTAAGGACAGAGAAATCATTTGTGCAAAAAAATGAATTCAGGATAGTGATATTTATGAAGAAAACACATCAATGAGAAGACAAAAAAAGGACAAGCCTTTCCTCAAAAAGTAAATTTTGTGAAATTTTTAGAAGGATAATTAAAATTTAAAAAAATTAAGGTCCTTCAAAACTTGGAACCTTTCCCCCAAACAACTGACTCAATACTCTACAAAACATTAAATCTGATCTAAGCCAACTGAGACCCTGTATGTCATTTACAACGTACATTCCATTTATACATAAAGCACTTGAAGCTGTCAAGATTTCAAGGCAAGATCCAGGATACAAACTGATAATTGGCTTTGTCAATAACACCCATGTACATTTATATACAACCCCTTTAACAATATCACCAACAGGTGTAGAATCAAAGTTCATGTGGAACACAAAATTGAAGGATATGGTGCACACAGACTGCAACTGTACTGATTCCAGGATAACCAATCAATCATTCATTCATTTGTGCACCGTTGGAGATCAAAATACTGTTAAAAGTGTTGACTTACCAGTAGGAGTAATCAAATGTGAACTGAAACAGACAGAAAAAAAAGGGAGAATTACCTCAGTAGGTTTAGAGAGATTTATTCCAATAGGCAATAAATCAGAAACAAGTCCACTTCGTAACAAATTCTAGTAACTGACAAAATGATTTCATCTGCAGCGACGTAGTAAGGATTTGGGGGGGTTCACGATAAAGTGGGAGGGGCTGTCTGGATGTTGGACATACACATGTACATAACTGTGATCACATCAAGTGGAAGGTGGGGCAACTGACCCTCACGCCCCCCCTTAGCCACACTGCTGCTCATCTGATAATTTGATAATGCAATATCCTTCTTAGTTAGATATATGTGTATTGATTTTTATTCAGGCTTAAAAATGTCACTTTTATTTCTGAAAAAATATCTATGAATTTCCTGTTTAAAATCTTGCACAAAACTGCACATGATTTGACAAATTTGAAACAGCCGCCAAAGTTTCAGTGAAATACACATTTTGCTGCAAAACTATACATGTACATGTGCACTTTTATAAGGTGCTGGCATCCTCTTTTCTCGTCAGCTACCAAAGATTATAGATTGGAAAAACATCTTCAGCATTTCATGCAAATCTGCTAATTCCGAGCAGAAATTAAGCTGCGTTGTATTTCCCAGAGTGTGAAATGCTCAAGGGGAAAGGACCTGTTGGTTTGTGATTTGCATGAAACATTGGAAATCAAAGGTACTCACTGTTTTGGGTTCTTCACCTGATGAAGCAAATTCCAAGTTGGCACAGGGGAAGAGTAGCAGGCAAAATAAGACAAGAAAATGAAAATTACAAAACATTTCCATTAAATGTACTTTATTTCAACTTGGGATTCGTGTTCACGTTCAGATGTCATTCATCATTGGGACATAATGGTCTATAATACTGGTTTGCATATATTTTATTTTCATAATTTGCTAAATGAAGGCATTCTATTTTTCCAGCGATTCCATTAACACGTACATGTACATGTGATAATTTGTCAACTTCATCATAGAATGACACAATCAGGGGTGGGAATGGATGAAAAAGACATATTCCCGAAATGATTAACAAGAAGGTTTGATCGTGGCCTCACAGCTGTGTATGGTCAATATTTGCTTGACGGCACCCCTTAAAATACTCATTTCTTGAGTTCTGTACTCAGTTAACTCTTAAATTGATGCAAGAGAGCACAGTAATAACGAGAATCGCTTGATTGAAAAGACCGGCCTCAAACATCAAAAAGGAATCTAATTACATTTTTCTATCCAGTTTTTCCTTTTATAACGGTTTGACAAATTAACCAAAACACACACAGTTGATTAGTAAAGTGTCCTCCTAGTGTGAACAAACTCAGTTTGCCATGCTCAATTATTAACTTAAAGCACAGACAACAAAGTAAATAATGTGTAGAGGTGAGATTATGTAACAATCGTGCCAAACCTCTACATCCTCTGTACATATCCCAATGAAAGCAGGACAATCCTGACTGACTGAATAAACTCTAAGCAGCCAACAATATGGGGCAGGACCAATCAATACTATTCTAACTGTCAATAGGATGCATTTCACATACTGTGAGGTTCTGTCCCTTGTCTGACGAATATTATTGTATGTCGTGCTGTGTGATGTGTATTCATGTACATGTCCTCATGCTCAAGTGAATGCCATTGAGTTTGTATGCAAGCACAGGCTTGAATAGTCCAAGGAGATTGAGTGTGCCCTCATCTATCACACAGCAACAAAGTCTTGGAGTTCTGAAAAAATGGTGACGTGGTAGGAAGTGTCTAGGCCCATTATTAAGGGGGTACATAGTTCCCCCCCCCCCCCCGGCGGGCAGCTGGTCCATCCAGGTGCTAAAAACCATCATCATCAATATTACCACAAACGTCAAATTGCAATGTACCCCCCCAACTGGTGCTGTGGCTCCCACCTGCTGTTTAACTTTGTAAACGACTGTGTGAATGTACTTGTCATTTTGAATAGTCAATAGTTTCAGCCGAAACTAATACGATGCCAAGAACGAGTGTAACAAGGAATGCTACAGTATGTATGTAAAATACTCTGTTGTGACTTGCTAACATGGATGCACTCCAGCAGCCGATTTCACAAAACTTTACGCAATGGCGTAACTCCACTTACGCCACATTTTATTGCCTAAGTTGTGCACCAAATTAAGATGGATTTCACGAAACTTACTCATTGCGTAAGCCATCGACTTATGCAACAACTTATGAGGTAACTTTAATACGCAGTCATTTTTAGGTGGCGTAAGTAAGTGCAAATTGAAGCAAAAGGGAACGGTTTGACTTGCTTATTGGGTCCAGTTAAGCCTTGCCATTGCTGAAATTATTAGGGATTGAACGAACAACTTTGTTCCAGAAGGTAATAATAAACTTGTTTGGCTGTGAGAAAACTGCCAAACTTTTTGCCCAGTTCTAGACGAAGAAACGACAAAAACATTTCAAAATGGCGGGCGGATGTGATTCAACGACTGTTTAATGACTGCTGTTAGATTGGAAAAGAACAGCCATCGTAAAAGGCATTTTTGTCCTCATCCAAGAAATTTAATATTATTAAAATGTGGCGCATCTACGCAACTTTTTGAAAAATCGAACGTAATCATATTGCGCAGCTACGGCATAAATACGGCATGTGACACAAGGCTTACACATGGTTCAAAGTTATGCTGGGTTTTGTGAAATCGTCTGCTGAAGTTCAAGAGAGCGCACATTCAATAGTGGGGGAATAATTTTCAAAGTAGGGGGCCAGTGGTGCGACCATCAGCCATTAATACGCCCATCCATGCAGTCCCACTCCATTAAAGGACCTGCAAAAAATGGGAGGGGGGAGGGGCATGCCCCTCCAGTCAAAAAGTGGGGGCCACTGGCTCCCCTACTTCCATCACCAGTGGGCCCAAGTGTGCTGCCACTGCAGAAGGGGCAGTGAAATTTTCATTTTTTTGAATTAAAACTGGGAAAATCCAATTTATTGGTAATAAATCTGCATTCTAAAACCTTATTTCAGCAATGTTATGAAAAAACGGAAGGCAGGTCATCAATAGGCCCAACAACAAGAGCCAAGAAATCACTTTTGTTTCCATTTACTGATCCATCCTATTTTTATGGCCTGACTACAACATTTACATATATGTATATCGACGGGTTCAAAAAAGAGGTTTACTTGCGTCATCACAAAAGGCTTAAATCTCAATATTTTCATGTCAAAACTATTTTTAGCATTAATAGCTGTTTGTGTTGGTTTTCGTACAATCAATTTTTCACAATTTTCCCCTAATGCCATCCAGAAATTTTGGACATATGGCAAGTACATGCATAATCAAATACATGTATTTAACTATTTTATCAAATGAAAGATTAACTTTTTAAATACTGAATTATTCGAAATGACTCAGCCCTACTGCAATAAAAAATCCACTCAGAATTAGTGTATTTATACACATTGGAATTCAGTTTATTCTGACACTCAGCAAAAAAAGACTTTGCCGTCAGCCTCAAACCTCATCCCCACAAAGAATCTTACCATCAAGACTGTGCAATTTTGTAGTTGCTCCTTTCATTTCTACGACAAGTTTAGCCCCTCTGTCCTTTTCCCTGTAAAATAAAATAAACATCAACGTCAACATCTTTTATTTTTGAACCTTCTGCTTTTCAATTTCAAAGTTCATTTAGATTTCAAACACATTTACATTAGTCTGGGATGGTGTTGGTGTTGGCAACAGAAGTATCCTTCAAAACCACGATCTATCCAAAACAAATTGTTGATATCTTTGAAAAAGCGACACTTCTAGAAAAACATTCTTTTTGTGAAGTTCTCAGGATTCGTCAGCCAAAAACTAAAATAACGGTGAAGAACAATACTAAGAAATTTGAATATTAACCAAATGTTATTCCATACAAGCTGACAAAAATCATCAGAGAATGCAAGCTACGTTTACGTCATGTTGGGAATTCTTCACGAGTCAATAATACCATTAGTGAAGTATTTTTCGTGGTAGTTGTGTTTTGGTCACTCAAAAACAGTTTCATCAATTTTCAATAGAATAAAAGTTGTGTAGGTGTAAGTGTTCGGATCTACACCATTTTCAAGAAATAACACAAAAAGTTTTCTACATACCTTGTGTTGAAGGGCCGCACTCGAACTGCCACCTTCACACTAAGAATAAAAAAGTAAACATAATACATTTACTTGATATCACATGTTTCAAATGCTCAGACAAGTATATGAACATTGGGACATGTGATGTATCCAAGTCTCAAGTCAGGGACGAGGGGACAAAATGGAATTTTTGCTAGAACAAAAGGGAAAGAGTTTCACATACGGACAACACTTGATGTCCCCTGCACAAACCTATGACATATGTCTAAAAAATCCAAGTGCTTTCTTGGTAAATGTTTCAGAATCTTCCCAGCTAAGTTTCAATTTTTAGGACATGTAACTTTTTCACAATTGTTACAAAATTTTAAGGGAAAATCAGTATTGTCAGTATGTGGACCTCTTTCCAACAAATGTCCTTATTTTTGTAGAAAAATTACCCTCCCCCCATGCAACTGACTGGGTCCTAGCCAACTAAAATGAGAGAATTTGGTTTTGGAGATTTTTCAATGCCCTTGCTGGCACTGAAGGAAAGAGTCCGCATATGTCTTTTTATGTCCCATGGTCTTAAAACCACAGGTCAAACAATAGCAATAGATGCACATCAGTTTGGACAGATTTTTTGGAGCTTGTATGACAGAGAAAGTGGATTTTTTTACTGCTTAAGTGAAGTAACTGCTTAAAGTTTAAACTGGGCTGCATTCAAAAACCCATAGTGTTACAAACCCATAAAGAAAGTTGTAAAAAGGTTGCAAATCACATGCAGTAGTGACTTACAGTTCTGCAAGTAATGTGCCCCCCCCAGCTGGTGCTAAGGGCCCCTAATGCCCCAAACTGGTGTCCGGCTCCTGTCTTATAGCCACCCATGATTGCGTTTCTATGAATCTGGATATTCTTAAGTTCTGGAGAAGTCAAATCTTTACAGACATGATCGAGACAAAGCAAATGGTGGTGCTGAGAATACTTACGATTCTCCCCCACTCGACATCCTGCTGGTCTCTGTGTTCCTCCAGGACCAAGGAGTAAACAGGTACCTGTGAGTGTGATCCCTCAGCCGGTAAAATTACCACCAGGAACCGCACACAAGACCGAGTGCCCTAGCAGTAAAACACTCGAATTTTTGCAGTTGTTGACTGACTGAACCGCTAACTGTTGTTGGACAAGGAACAGGTGTTTATGCAAGTCGCAACAAGTGCACTTGCACGGCACGGCAACCTCGTTTAACTGCAGTAATTCCTGAAATTCAGAGCCCGATCAGTAACTTTTCGCAACACATTGTAGCAGAAAGTCACTGTCCTCGCTTATTTCAGTCACACTCGCAATGACGACACAAATTCCAAAAGAATTTATTGTTAATTGCCAGCATTCCTTTTCATCCGTCGCCGACAGTGTTCTCGCTTCCCAGGCAACTGGCTGACAAGGATGACGTCACTAAGTCAGTATTAAGACAAGCGCACAGGCGATAGCACGGAAGCGAGTGAATAGCGCCCTCGTTTTGCTTTTAAATCCTAATATTTTCATACGGACCACGTCCCTTCCCAGAATAAGACACAAAACCAGTTTTAAAGCAACAAAAAATCAGTGTCAAATGTAGCCCTAGTCATGACTTCCCCCCCCCCAATACTGCATTGATTTATGGACTTTATAGGCCCTAGGGAATGCACGCACGGCTGCTTTTAACTACTAACCTGTTTCGTGATAAAGTACAGAGGGAAACATAGACATGACAATAATTGTACAAGACAGCGGAGACCACGAACGCAGCGAGAGACCCAACTAACGTCAAAATGAGTGACAATGAGATGTCGAAAAAAGTTTGGATATTACGGGCTTTCGAGTAGGACTGTATTGCTCATGCACATTGATAAGAAGCAAAACAAGAGTACATGGTCAACGCCCAACAAATTTGCTCTAAGATCAAACAACACTGCGACGACTTGAAGTATTTAGGTACGGAGTGTTATATGTAAGTGATATTTATGTTGGAATTAACGTGCCCCTTTAATACGACATTGATTTTATCAGAATGTGTTCTTCGAAAGAGGGCGCTAAAGTATGAGCCATCATCATCGCAGGGATTGGGATGAAGTACTTTTCTTCCCTGGTAAAACAGCTTCTTTATCATTGTATACTACGTCAAAAGTTAGGTTATCATCCAAGCGGCCCTCTTTGATGGGTTGGCCGGGTCGGAATTACAAAGGGAAGCCTAGGTTCTGTCTATAGAATGTTTAACCTAAGATGTGTTTATGCTATACAGTTCCCCATGGAATGGCGTCGAGTAAAGTGTAACACTATCACTTTGAATTAAACAACGCAGATATTTCTTACGGTTTCAAATTAAAGAAGTATTGATTGATTTGATTTTTGTACAATGTACAAGCTTGAGGGAGGATCATACTAAACCTTGGTCAAAGGTAATGATGTATTGAGCACCTTCATTTCCCGTTTGTTTCCTATACAGATTATATAACGGTATTTATGGAACAGTTTACCCAGCTGGAAATTCCGCAACCTCAACTCGCAAACGAAGATTACAAACCCTGATCTGCTTCACAGATTCAAATTCATGCCCTAACCCCTACCCTGTTTGCCACTCCGATTGCGTTTCTACAAAAGGACAGCCCGATGCATCCTACACACCAGAACCAATCCCAATCCCAACACACAGTAATATACCCACTCCCCGCGCCCGCATGCATCTCATCTATTCAAACCACCTCAGTTTTGGTCCAGCTTCGAAGAATGCTGATGTCAACCATGGGAGAGCTAGCAATTTCACCAAGGGACGAGGGTCTGGGCGTTCTGTCCATAGCTTTTTGGAACAAAAGAAGGCAAAGAAAATGGTAGTGGAGCTTGCTTGAACTGGCTGGTCAAGCTGCATGTCACGCCAGTGGACATCAACCTCAAATGACCTGCCACAAGGACACTCTCAGAGGCATCAGTTAAAGCTGTTCACGTCGTCACTTTCTGCGCCCCGACCATACGTGGGGCACTTTTAGTCGGTCATCTCCCCCGCACACACTGAAGGACGGCTTCTAGGAAAGCCTTTATTACCGGCCCACAAGCCCCCGGGTCATGTGCCCAGGAATTCAGTTACATGAAAGTATAATTTGCGGTCGGGTATGATAAATTGAAAAACAGATTATCATTAGTAACATTGCCTGCTCGGCCCACCCGGAATATTGACACGCTGTGAAATGGCCCACTAGGTCAGAGTAATGTTGGCCTTGATGTGGATTTTGCCCTGCAAAGAGATCCAGCCATGAAGTTTTTTGACCTCTGATTGATGTACCAACGTATGGAGACTCAATATAATAGCATTCTCTAAATGTTCCTTAACTGGCATTAAAAATGTGAAAAGGGGAAAGTGTTGGTGTACAAAATGGGAAAGTATTTCTATGGAACATCCTGGGCTGGCGTAAACCTTAAGCTTAGTTGCTTCCTGAATAGCTGGCGAAGCTCAAATTTGTTTGACTTTAAGATGGTCATGAAAACAATTAATTAATCCTGCACTAAACTTCGTTAATAATGCATTAAGGCAAAATCAAAGGCAGTTTTGCCTTTCAGAAACATTCTGCCAGGATTGAAATGTCAGGTACTCCAATTGTGGACAGGTCCATTTCTTGGGTGTGTATTTTGAATCTCACAAGTGGGGAAAGGGCGTAAACAAGGAGTTTGTAAAGGCAATTCTATCTGCGTTAGTTAGCAACGACAATGAGGTAGTGACATCACACATCGTTGGAATTACACCATACAGGCATTGTTTGCTGTGACGTATTTAATTTTGAGGTAAAACTTTGACAAGGTAATGAGTAATTGCTCGACATTGCTATGAGAATAGACCGATTGCGCCCGCGAAATAAATCACGTGTGTGAATATCAACCACATAGCAGCCACGTTACGGTAGAGTACCCAGCATGCACATCAGTAGCCTGAATATGGCACTACCACCGGCTTAAATTGTTGGTAAATGATCCTTATGAAACACTTTGCTTTTTGGTGGACGCTGAGTTTGTTGACATTTAATACCCACTGTAGGTCACGTGACTTTAATAGCGAGGGCAATATTATCTACCCGACCTGAGGGGTCACCATACTATTCAGGGGCGGCTTCGGGATTTTCAGAAGGGGGGGGGGCGCAAACTTGCCATAGTCAAAATGCAAGCGCAAAATGTGAAGCCCTTTCTCAATATAAAGCATTGGACTCTTTTTAGAATTCGTGGTTGTGATCTTGATCTTATAAATAGTCGCTGATCAGCTCCCATTGAACTTTGAAGGAACACTCAGCCAAGGAGAGGTGGACGGCTATTCATAAGCATCACGTTTAAAATGTTGTGCAGCCGGTTGGGGAAATGAGCATGGTCCGCCCCCTCTGAAGCTACCACCGCATGATGTCACCTACAACACTGCAACAAAACGAGAGTTCCGTTATACCAGGCAAGATATGGGACGGAGGGGTACCCCCCTTACCTGTCCAATCCCTATACACACTATAGACTATCATGGTTACCTAACACACACCCCCAGAAGTCTGTAAAGAATTCCTGAGATTCCGATCAAACAATGACCAACACTCTCCGTCCCATATCTTGCTTCAAATGAGTTCCGTTACAGTCAAAGGAATTCGGCAGTGGTAGTCTTACATATGGGCGCGGCTGGATACTCATATAAAGTGCAGTTCTGAAGTAGGGAGGGGTGCGTTATTTACTCATTCAGGGGTCAATTGGATCAGCACTACCTGTACTAGCTATGGCACCCTATTCATTCCCGTTATGGTCCAGTTGATAGTTTGAGCTAAGAAACCAGGGCACGTACGCGGCATGCCAAATATAAACCGCGAAACAAATAGTTAGGGGTGTCGCTGCTCGCGCAGGGTATAACGAGGGGAATTGAGGCACCGCTGGCTGTTGGAATTATACACCAGCGGAGAGCGGCGGGCTCACCGCGCCGTGCCCCCCTCGCTACAGCACCTGCCGCGATCCGCCGATGACGTTCGCGCTGCCCATCGCAGAGAGAGTTCAGTAAGTCAATTTAGCGAGCATCGGAGGCGAGATGTCTTCGACACGTGAATGCGACTTCTTATTTCTGTTGTCGTGATCTATTATTAGATATGCTTACCCTGCAGATGGGCAGATCGGATGACCCCATGAAAAAAAAAATTGAATCAGTAGGTGGGATAAGGGCGTTTCACCTTTTCTTGACGAATTTATTTGTGGCAGATGTGTCCCGCCCTGCTAATGCCATCGATCGATCCATAGCGAGCGCGAGTGTGTCGAACTTTAAGCTGGGTACAAGGGGGTAGAAAGCACTTTGTGTGTCAAGGAACTTTTCGGTGACGTCACCCTAACGAGGACAGGAGTGAAATTTCGTCGACCCCCACCATGCATCATCAGGCAAAAACAATGTCACACTCACAGTGAGCAAAGCAGTAGGAATTTGGGGGGGGGTAGATGTACCACTCTCCACAGAACGAACAAAATCACCCGACGTTACAGTCTTCTGACAACGGACAGAGCATACTGTTCGAAACGCTGAGTACCATCGGTTCTTTTCAGAACCCCACATACTCAAAAAGAGATGTTTCCATGGTGCTACGGCAAACCTTCAGTCGAGGAATTCGGAGAAGAAGGGTTGGAAATGGTAACACAAACCAACTTGATTTACAGAAATCAAGTATGAGGTCTTGAAATCCACAACAAAATGATTAAAACCCAACCTGTACACATTCAACGCAAGATTTTGGCAAAGATTTTGAGGAAAGGTACTGGAAATGCCCGCTCAAGGACGGCGAGGCTGCGCCGCTTCCCCTACCATCACCCGTTCTAGTCTATCAACGCATAAAATGATAAATTACTGCGCATGTGAACGTTACAGTTACTAACGGTCCCATCTGCGGGTCCACGGACAACTGCCCAGGTATTGAAAACCATTTAGTGACAGGTGACATGTACAGGGGCAGTATTTCAACTTGTATACCCATAGATAATAAAAAGTCGACAGTCCAAGTGACAAAAGAAAAGTAACGCAGATTGTAGCCTTGCCAATGCTTGGGACGGTCGGTATGGTTTCGACCTTAACTTAAGCCCGGTAACTCCGTGTTCTCGTCCATATCTCATCAATCAAGCCTGTCAGTTTGATGCACAAGTACACTCCGTCATGTCGGTCTTTCTGCCCCCATTATGCGTACCCCTTGTGGTATTCTTTTCCAAGGCAGCCCAGATTTCTTCTGTTGAGCCGTCCGTGGGGATTCTTTGCAAGATGACCCAATTTCGCTTCAAATTGTCCAAAGCATCATATCGGGCTGAAGCAAACAATCGAGAAGAGGTCAGACCAAAAGTAGGTCATAGACGAGGTCTATCTAGTTGATCAAAAGATGTATTACCCATTGCACAGCCTTTCTTTCAC